GGAAAGACAGATTTGCCAGCCATTAAAGTGAAGAGGGAAGAAACACAGGACTGGACAGAATGCTTGGCCAGGCAGAGGATTTTGGAAGAGATGAAGAACTTCTTGGGAACAGAAGTGCTTGGGACAAGCAGCTCTGGCAGCAGTTTAGGCGATGGGGACTGGGACCTGGGGTTGTGGTGTGGGCAGTGGAGGAGCAGGGCAGTGTGAAGGGGAAGCAGAGAACCGAGAATAATTGTGTCCCTTGGCTGCGTGTTGGGGTTGACAAAGAATACTACTAGGCAGAGGAAAGTGTCCCAGGAGCAGGGGTTGGGCTGGAGAATTTGTGGGAGTGTTAGCAGGTCTCAGAGTAGAAGGAGACACCCTGAGAGAGGGAGGATCTTGGTGCAGGCGATGGAGTGAAGGAGAAAGTGAGGTATGTGAGAATGGGAGGGAAGGGATTGGGGGAAGTGGGGGTGCAGGGTGGTGAAGGCACAAGTCATTCAGATCAGGCAGAGGTCTTACGGCTGCTTGGCAACTGGGGCTGTGAGAGGTGAAGACTCGTTACATGGGTAAGGGAGCCTATAGGGTGGACAAAGCAGGGTCTTGCATTGCCCCTGGGTTCCTCAACACCTAGAGCTCCATCCCAATGTCCCCACTCACCCAAGAGGGCCCTGTGTTTCTTCCCCAATCTACCTCCCCACACAGCTCAACTGACACAAGTCCCCAGTCTCCCCTTCTCCTCCTCTCTCACAACTTCCCTCCTCTGCTGCAAGATGTCCATTTCCAGGAGGGGTGGAGAGAGGGAGAGGAGAGGTTGGAGGAGGTTTGTTCCTGGATCAGGGCTGGTTAGGGGAATTTCCACTGCTGGGGTTGGGGTGGAGGGGATTGTTTGGTTTATATGGTGCTGTTCAGAGCCCTAAAAGTATTATCAAGGTATGTCCCATTCTTTCTCAGCCTGTGAAGCTGCCACCACCCTCATTCTCAGTCAGGGTACATAATGAGTTTTCATCCTTTTCTGATTCCAAGGCTGTTTTCCCAGTAAATCAGGAGGTGGTGTGTGCAGAGGTAATTCAGCCACACTGCAGTTTTCAGGCACCAGAAGTAAAGGTGGTTGGCAAGCCCCCCACCCGGTGGAAGAGATGAATTTTCAGGTACAGTCAACCGCATACAGGATAGCAATATTTTTTTTCTGCTTTCTCCAGATAAGTTCAGGTCCACAGCTGGAGAAACCCTACAGGTGGGATGTGGATTGAAATGTCTCTGCCTGCCTCTGCTAACCCTCTTAGCTAGACTGTGACAGCCATATGGGCTCTTCTTCAACTTCTGGTGTCTTTCAGACATGTTGGCCCTTTTTCCATCTTCCAGGCTCATATCTTCCGGGCATCATTTGTTGCTCAGTCTGTCTTGAGGGAAGAGTGTACTTTTCTAGCCCCAGCACCAGGACCATGCCCACAGTGCAGGACCTATAGCACCATTCAGGTACTACTCCAGTCCTGGTGCTACAAGGTAGTCACATGCAGGAGTCGTGTTAGCCTACCCTATATCCATAGTATACGCACATGATCTTCACCCGCTGGCTTTCTGAGGTTGTCTTAGCTAGCTGCTTGATACCCTTCTGCAAGACAGGTATATAGAGGAAGCTGTAAGAACCTCAATACTCCATTTGGCATGTCATCAGGAAAGTGAAACTGCCATAATTTCAGGCAGGTCATGAGGTTCACCACATGGTAACATCTGTGAATGACTTCTGATTGCATTAAGCCCACAGCAGCTTTAGCTCTTCATGTCCTGCATGCACAAAGAGACCCTCAATGCCTCATACTGCTATTTCTTCAAAAAACAGGAATCATGAGCCATAAAAAAAACATCTGCACAAACACAGCCAGATCTAACCATTCTTTTGTATGGCTTGTCAGACTTGCTTTTGAAGTAGTAGGCATGGAAAGAAAATCCTGAAGACCTTGATCTAATGGAACTGGGATCTGAAACTGAGATCTGCAGGATGACGCCCATGCTGAGTTTCCAAAAATACTCCTGCTTGACATAAGAAATGGAAACAAAAAAGAGACCACACAACATGTAATGAATTTGGAGGGAATGTTATTTTGGTCTCATGGCCTCCCTTCATAAGGCACTGTTTGTTATATGCTCCTTTTCTGTCTGGGAGAACTGGTGAAGTTGTTCTCTTTTAGCCTCTCCTTGCTTGTTCCTACTCTTCAGTTGTGGCAGAAGGATGATTCACAGGGCCATGTAGTGAATCACATCATGGTTAAAAAATGCCTTTTTTTGTTTGGAGTTTGGTTGCAGACAAATTGTTTTGTTAGCCCAACTGAGAAGGTAGCCCAGAGATGGGACTTGGGGAGGAGAGGAAGACTTAATCCTCTATGATCACCAAAGCAAAATATGTAGCCTAAGTGATGTTTTTCTCTTTTTCAGGCATTAAAATCCGTGCAGACATCATCAACTGTTAAGTCACCGCCTTCTTTCCAGGTTCCACATACTTTATTTCACTTGATCCCAAACTACTTCATATCAAGCCAAGTTTCACATGGAAACTTAGGGCATAGACCAAAGGAAATAGGGTGCATTCAACACAGCAGGGAAGAGGAGAGACAGAGCAATGAAGTTTTCCTTACGGAAGCAGAAAACTCAGGTTACTGGTTGCAGAGTCAGGGAGTTCTAGTAGGAATACTTCTTTGACACATCTGTGGAAAGAGCAAGAAAAGGCAAAGTGCCTTATAAAGTTTTAGAAAGACATCTAAGGACTAAGAGATCTTAGGGCATGGGTAGCCACATCTTTTTGTCATTGGCATAGGCATATCCCATTGCATTCAGATTTGGGGTGCTGTGAGGACTTCACATGAGAGGAATGTATGGAAATGGAATAAAAGTCGATCCTTTTAACCTTCCATAGTATGCTCAAGCCTTGGTCTGCACTGAAATTATACCTGGACTAGAAACTGTGCCCACAACTAGCACAGTAGATCCCAATTCAACCTGCAGTCCAAGCAGGCTCTACAGTACATGATGGAGTTAAATACAGAGCAGAAGTAGGCTGCTTTCCTTGCTTACCACCAACCCCCTACTCTGTTTCAGCTGTTCCCACCTTGGAATTCTGTTAACAGTTACCTGAACTGCAAGGGAAAGCATATTCTCTTGCTGTGCGGTCATCTGTAGAAACAAAAAAGAAAGGTTGGTGAGCTGCAGAATTGCATGCTAGGGTAATGCCAAGCTTCTTTCTCTTTAACACAACCATCCCACTACCTTAATTATGTAACCTCAGGTGGTGAATGCTGGAACAGAAGAATGTCTACAGTGGGTCAGGCCAACAGTCTGTCTCACCAAAATGTCTCCCCTAGAGCTGTAAAATAACCTCTTATTCACTGTAATACCTTCTAATGAAAGGACATTTTTGTAAACAGACAACCTTTCAGTAGGGTGTCCTGATAACCTCGTGGTTTTACTGATAATTAGTATTTTCAAGTCAGATGACTATTTTTAAATTGTATGTACTAAGCACAAAAATTCTTGTACAGGATGGAATAGCAAAGAGAAAGCATATTAGGTGACAATATTTAGCTCTGTAAAGGCTGGATTAAGAAGCCTCCCCCTTTCCTTAACATGCTATGGAAAGAAAAAAAATCGAATTTAGTATACCATGTGTAGGCCTATGGTGGGTGCTGCTTTCTAAATCTCCAGTGGCAGTTTTTCCATTTTGTTCTGAAATTATTATAATTTATTTTTAATAGTTCTTAATATTCCATCTGCTGTCTTGGCTCATACTGAGCCTGACATAATCAGAGACTTAGAATGTCTCCAAGATCTCTCTCCTGTATGCTGATAGTTAAGTTAGAACTTTAAAGTATAAGAAATTATTTTCATGTTATCCTCTGAGAGAGGGCAGCACCCAGTGGATGGTAGGATCATTACACTATACATTGAAAACAGAACTAAATTCTGCCCTCTAATGGGTCAGTGTGGCAGTATGTAATGCTGTTTTTAAATAAATGCCTCAGTATTTTCAAGAGAGATAAGAAGCCAGGAGAGACATGGTATATTGACACAGATGCTTTCTTTCCACAGACAGGTAGTTTGAAGCTAGAGGAAGTCAAAAAACACAGTCGTTTTGAACACATATACACCACAACATAATTAGAGTGCCAGGCAGTCCCATCTCAAGAACAGAAAAGCAAGTGATTCTGCTACTTGAATGTAGAAGTTTTGTACAGAGCAAACCCAAGCTTGGAGTTGCAGAAGGAAGTGCATTGGAATCAGGGAGATAAGGGGATAAGGGACATGGACAGAACTCTCTCTGTGTAGGGGGTATAATAGCTACTCTTTGCCTATGGCAGTAAAATCTCACCAGGTTTATAATAGTCATAGACATGCACAGCTGCTGCTTTCAGGTTCTGCACTTCAATATCTTGTTCCACTGAGATGCTAAGCTTCAGAGAAGTCTTACCTAACTGGAGAGAAGGAATGAAGTGAGCAGAAATGCACTGACCATCTCAAGGTCATCTACATACCAACTTTATTCCTTCTGCATCAGAGATTTTTTTTCTCATCTTTCCAGGTTCTTCCACCTTCTTCTTCTTTTGCCAAAATTTCAGTCTGCTTTACCAACCTAGATATTTGTATTTCTGATCTCAAAGTCCCAATGCAAAGTACTGCTGTTGCTACTACTTGAATGGGCAGCTCCTTGTCATCTTCCTCTTACCTCTTCCAAGTAGATTATGACTTTGTCTGGTTTTATCTCTGTCTTTTTCACCAGGGGTATCTTCTCCAGCTGTATAGGAAGACAAGAGATGAGCTTGGTTAGCACCAGCTCATTGGCCTTCTCCGTTGCCTCACACCAAGTTTGGTATTTGTCACTGAACCACTGCTGACTAAAGCACCTAGCCTGGTCAAGGGAAGACCTGCATTCCCCAACTATAACAGCACTGACATTTGTTGGGAGCTCACCGAGCATCAGAAAAGACTTTTTTTTCAGATTTGGAACAAGTGTCCTTGAGCTGCATTCTTATTTTCAGCACTTGTAAGAAAGGGAAAGATGGTTAGTAGGAGATTACGATGGATCTTCATGACTATCATCTCCTGAAACACTGAGGCATGTCATTGAACAATGCTATGGGATTCAATACTGCTTTATAGAATATATCTACCAATGGCACTGGCAACAGCAAAGGGTCTCAGTGCACCTCAGATGGTCGTAACTAGGTGCTTTACAGCTCTTTTCTAACCTCTTGCCACATACGTGATCCCCACTACTGAAAAAGAAGAACTGCACAACCAGTTCTGCAAGTGGAAAGTTGCTTCATGAAACAGTCCTCTGTATCTGTACTTGCCTAGTTTAGTTAACTCGGAGTCAGATAACCTCACAGTAGCTACCATTCCCCAGCATTTCTTAGAGGTCTGGATATTTCTGGCTGAGCTACATCTGAAAAATATATTTTCTTATCTTCAGCAAAGGCCAGACAAAAAGGTCTTACCTCTTTCACAGAGCTCTTCACAGGAATGAACCCTGACAGCATCTCCACCTCCACCAGGGCCATGTTACTGGTCTCACGGTCCCCTACATAACTGAAAAAAAAGCAGGAGAGAAGCACACTAGATGTGGAAGGTATTACAACATTTTTGGGAGATACTAATGGACACTTCCAAACTCTGGCCCATTCTACAGTGACGTGAAAGCTCAGCAGCTTGTCTAGATGATGGGAGAAAGTACAACATTTTTGGGAGATACTAATGAACACTTCCAAACTCTGGCCCACTCTACAGTGACGTGAAAGCTCAGCAACTAGTCTAGATGATGGGAGAAAAGGGAAAAAATTCCCTCCCCATCCCATCTACTATGGAAGACAGGTTGTGTAGCAAATGTGTTACGATTAATGTAAGATTAATGCCCTCTACAACAGGTGGAAGTTTTTTGTTACAGATTGAGGGCAGCGATGCTGGCATTGTTCTCTTTCACGACAGTAGGGCATGGAGAATATGAACCAGGACAGTGGTCCTAGACAGATGCAGGCAAGTCAAGTGTGGATAGGGACTGGATTTTCTGCTGTCTGCTTCCAGCAGAGGTTCACACTGCAGGAGAATGGAGGGCTGGTTCAGCCCAGGCTGCCGAGCGTTCCCCCGGGGAGGACCTCTGGCTCTTGGGAATACTGCCTAGTGCTCTGAGGGCGGCTGAGCTGCTCCATGCTGACTGAGATAGTTGCTGTGGTTCTGCAAGCCACTGCCAGTGCCTTCCCGTGCTTCCCCGACCTTAATTCTCAGTTCATGAGCATTTTGAGGTCTATGAAGAAGACAACAGTGTACACCTGTGTATTTGTCCCCATAAAGAAGAGGGTTTTATGGGGTTATGGTCATGCTACTTGGCCCCGACGTCTTTCCACTGAAGAAAGACCCTCAAGGGATCTCATACCTGACAGACACATGGATGTCAAGCTGTTTCCTGATGCCATCACATTCTCTTGGTACTGTTTCCACATCCAGGACAAAAATCTCTTCTGTTTTTGGTGGCGGGATGTTATAGTACAATGTGGTCTGGTGGGGGAGAAAACATCTCTGTGAAGTGTCCCAGAGCTTCCCTGTATGAGTCAAAGGCCTGGCTGTGCTCCCAGCTTTCAACAAAGTGGTAACCAGTGGCTAACACAGTTGGCCCCAGCTGTGCTTCCTGTTAAGACATTGAGTTTAGCACATAGCATCAGATACATCCACCAAATGTAACCCTCAGCAAGGGGCCCAGTTATCTGTGATCCAAGACCTCAGTACAGAATTGTCTCAGTCTTTCTGAAAAGAAGAAAAGAAACTGCCCAGAAGGAGAAAGAAGTGTAACTGTCAAGTGTTTACATGATAATATTAGTTCTGGGTCTCAAGAGGTAAAATACTGACAAAACAAATACAAAAACCTCAAGAAAGAAGAAAGAGCAGAGAATCAGAAGAGGACAACTCAGTAAGAGGGATGATCACACTCCTAAGAGCAGCACAGGCCAATCTTCCTCCACCTGCCTGGTGACTGACTGACTGTCCAGCAGCTGGTCATTACATGTCTTATGTTTCCTGACTATATGTCAAGTGTAGCCAAGTAGTATGAGCCCTAGCTACATCCTACATCAATTAGCAATAAATAATTGTTGTGTTCTCTTGTCTATACACTGATTATAGATCCTATATGAACAAGAGATGGCTGAACAGAAGGGAGGGATGTTTTTGCACCAGGTGACTTGATCCTGCAGTTTTTTGCTGCATGAATGGCTCATAAGCAGACAACTACTAAAGCTGCCAGAAAAATAAGATGTATTCTCCTGATGGAGAAGTTGTATTGGTGTACTGGGATGGGAAGACCGTAGTCCTACATCACTCCCCATCTCTTCATGTGATAACAATCCAGAGAGCAGTGTGTCAGGAGATATAGAGTGCTCAGCTCCTGAAGCAGTGTTCCAGCAACATATGTTTGATATAGAAGCAAATACTGTCTGTATCTCATCACTCTTGACTTCAGATCTACTGACTTCTTAACATTTACATGTCTCTGTAGCATGGAACAGCAAAGCTGAGATATTTCTGAGAAGATACCATAGATGGTTGCAATAAAACCATGACAGCAGAATATACCTGACCTCCTTTGACATGATTCTGCCTAGAAAGCCAAATCCTACTCAGAATATGAGGCTATAGTGCCTGCTTAGAACCAAACCTCACTTGAAAAGTCAGTAGCAAAACCTGGCAACTCTGTTCCTGATACATACTCACCTGTACATAGACACAGCCACTGCCCATCACCTGCACTGTGTACACCCCTGGGACTTCAAGGAGAGATGCCTGATGCAGGACCAACTTGTTGTTTCTGTGCACGTGGAACTTCAGTGGAGAAGAAGCCTCTTTGCCTTTCACTGTCACCTTTACATCTCGCATCTCCTGGGGAATCAGGGCTGCATACTGAGCCAAGGCCTGCAGGCTAACAACTGTGTCCTGGAGGTAGAGAGAGACACTTTGCTATGGAGCAATGCAGTACAAGGTTTGGCACACTAACTCAGACACTGCAGGGAGAACCGCACACCTCATGGCCCTGTTTCACACTCTTACACAAGTGGGGTCTATGCCACTAAGTGCACAGGCAGCAGGATGACACCTGTTACCTGAAAGGGTGGCTTCTGAGCCCTGGTGTTAGCAGTCCCAGGCCCTGGGTAACCCCAATTACACCACAGAGAAAAAGTTTCCCCATGTCATTCCCATTCCCAAGTAGGGCTCATGTATGCCTGTCTGCAAAGGATGGATCTAGTGTCACATGCATATGAGAGACGTGCATGTCACTCCAGGCACAGTATCTCATTCCATCCCCTGTGACTTTCCCCGGTTTGTTACCTGTGTGGAAGCAAATCCACCAAAGGCACTTCTTTGTCCACTGAGCCAGTGCACGAGCTTGCTCACTGAGGCTTCATTGAGTGCCGAGTCTGATTTGGAGACATGAGCCAGGAGGATGTAGGCTACTGTCTCAATCATAGAAGACGAAGATTGTTCTCTGTTGGAATGTGATGTCAGGAGTCCTGCTGATGGAGGGAAAAGCATGTGGAAGAGAAGAACAGTAGACCCCTGTGAACATCAGCTTTTCCTGCCCTGATGTGTCTTGAGGACTGACATTTCCCTGTACATCATCAGAAATGCCCATGCCTGTTGGGGAACCTCAGGGTGCAGAAGCCAATCTGTCCTGTTGTTTTTGTACTCGGAAGGGCCAGCGATCTATGATAGGCTCCATTTCTTCCTTTGAAAACACAGAGAGATCCAGGCCCTAAATCCTCAATCAGTTCCTCCAGGAAACAGTTCCTCTAGAAACTGATTGACTCTGAACAGAGGATTTTTGTTTACAGTACAGTCCTAGTCTTATTCAGCTCTGTGTATATTCAAAGCTATGTCCTCAGGATGCAGCATTTTTCTGTTTCTGCGTTTACCTAGGCTAGTCTAACAGGGCTCCCTGTGCTGAAAAGCTCTATGACTCTTTTCCAGTCAGTTGTATCTATTGTACAAGAGTTGGTCACTTTTTGATGGAGAATTGCTGGCAGGCTACCGGAGGAGCAAGACTACCCAGCCTACCTTGTTGGCATCCTCACTATACAGTGAGGATACATAGGCTAGGACAATTTAAGCTACAGTTGGGCTCCCAGCTACGGTCCAAGCTCACAGGCACTGAGTGCATCTGAGTCTTGTTGAATGTTTTATTGTAGTGATAGTAGGGGGATAACCAAAATTCAGCCATGAATTTAGCTTAATTGTAGCCATGTAGACATTTTCGGTGATGGTACAAATGTGAAAACCTCAAATGCTTTAAAATTCAAAGTCAGTTTTCAGAATAAACCTTCACTTTTGAAATAAGAATCACAAAATCACTCAGGGACTCTATGGATTGGTATTACTTAATTATGTTTACCAGAAAGGAAGGTTTTTGCATGAGGGATTTGTGGTTTCTTACCTCCGAAGTGACATAAGCAGACAGTTTTTTTCATGAAGTGGTAGAAAGTGTCTTGGAGAGGTTACAGATGACCTACAGATTAGCCTTGATTCTTTAAAAATCACCAAAATCCTGTCTGAGATCCAACTGTAATCCTGAATCCATTTCAACATGCTGAACAGCTCCTGTCCCTCACTTGTAACTCCATTGCTCTTGCCAAGTCATTGCTAACTATTATTAGTGGAAGCAAGAGCCGAAGAAATTATCACTTGACCCATAGGCAGTTTGCAGTGCTCTGTGCCCTAGGGCCTTAAGGGGACAGTTTCTGAAATGCTTGGTAAGTTAGAAGCATTGACTGACTGGACTTCGATGAGGATGTGCTCCCGTCACTTGTTCCTTATGAAAAGTGTTGCACTCAGTGTGTGCAAGTCTACTCCTTCCGGTTCACCCACTAGCCATCCTGTGAAGCCAGCTGGGCAGCTTGAGCAGCTATGCAGTGCACTGCACTGGTAGCTGATCAGGCTGAAAAATCCTCTCTCCTTTTTTTCTTCTGTGTTATTTTTCAGTCCCAAATGTGGTTCCCCCTGACACCAGATGAACAGAGGTGGAGAACAACTTACTTAAGCCAAAACAGGCAATACTGTTACCAACTGTTTAACCATAGGCTTAGGTGCTTTGAAACCCCCACCTGGCATCTTCATTCAGGATAAAAGTCCATTTTTTTCCAAGTTAAAGAGGCAAATGGAAGAACCAAGCTCAGCAGCAAAACAAAGAAGACGCACCCACCCAAGCGCCCTGAGCAGCAATGGGAAAGCAATCCAAAGGTTTGAACTCAGCAAGTAAATGCCCTGACCAGCAGCTGAGTAGACATCGTGAGTCAAGTGTCCTCTGCAAAATCTCTTGTATGAATTGCTGAAGAATGATGGGAGCACCACAACTCAGGTGAGTGCTTTGAACACACAAATTAAGCATGGATCACCTCGGCTGCTTTTGATTAGAAATTGTTTCCTAGGTCTGAGAAAACTAGAGACTTTCACAGTGTCAATAAATTACCATTTTCTGACAGAAAAGCCAATCTGAGAATAGTTAAATTTCCCAAATGACTACAATCAAATCCTACAGATATCAGACCTTAAACACAGTCACTACCCCCACGACCCAAAATCTTCTAAACAGCAACAACCTACCAGTTTCCCTCTCAAGCATATCCAGGAGCTCCTCTCTCATCTCCACGTCCTTGGTCAGTGTGAAGACATAAGCCATCAAGGCCTTGACATACAGGCTCATCTTATCGAGTGTTACATTCTTAAGACAACGTAAGGCATTATCCAGCATGGTGTCCTGAGAAAGGAATTCAAACCCAGCAAATTTCCTCTGGCCACTTTTTTGTTGTGAAAATCTATCCCCAACCCTCAAGTATCCCAGCTATATCCTCAATGTATTTCAGTGATAGAATAAATTTCAGGGCTGTGAAATGTGAAGTAGAGCGGAGAAAGCATCACTTGCTGTGGATTGAAAATAGGGATGTGACTGGGCAGATCACTGGGCCATGGTATTGTTAATATACTGGAGAATCCAGCAGTAGGAAGTGTCTGGTAACACACTGTCTCAGAACTGTCAGACCTGCATGCTGTGGGTTTCAGCTCCTGAGGGGTCTGATGTTGTTTTCAGAACTGTAACAGTAATGCTGGAATATCAGCCCCCCTCGGCTCAAACAGTTGGCACTCAACTTGAAGATCATTGCTTTTATTTCAGGTCTGAAGGAGGTGAGGTTGCATACCTGAAAGGTGGTCTTTTTTCTCCCCTCTGTCTATACTGATCAGCTTAATGAAAACTATTGCCTCACCCTGCAAGCCCTGTGCCATTTTCAGAGACAATTGTTTCTGCTGAGATCAGTTGGGAATGGCAGATGGTCTGCTTTGCTGAAAATCAGGACATTTATATTAAGAACTCCTTGCCCAAGTTAAAAAATTCCTACTGAGATTGTTGTGTACAAAGGTGGGGCATGACAGAACCTTTCACCAACTCAGGCTGGGTACTCCCTGCAATGAGAGACCTGGGGAGGAATGAAGGATGCAGCATGTTCCCAAACCCTGCAAGAGATTGGATGTGACTTACTGTCTTTTCCAGATGAAGCTCCACCAGTGTAGCAGTGACATAGGCTGTTAATGAGATCGTATCTTCCACACCACCCTGCAAATCACACAGACAGACACCCGAAGGAGGCAAAACCAACCACGGAGAGAGTACAGTAGCATGTCTCTGGGCATTCTTGGAGCTGTGGGGACTGAAGGAAAGCACTCCAGACCCACTGAGTATCATGAGAGTACGGTGTTGAGGGCAGCCCGAGAGCCATAATGTGCATACAGTCTAGGTGTGCCTTCTCATAGAAAAGTGCGAAGCAAACTGTTTAGCTATTTATTTTATTAAATACGCAACAGTAGGACATGTGAACAAAGTTTTTATGATGCAGGATTTGCATACAAGAAGCAATGCAAGTTTACCTACGATTCAGCTGACTGTGAGAAGCTACAGTTTAATATGGGTAAACAGGCTTCCAGGAGCCTCTTTTCCCATCAGAGGACATTGATTCTTGGGGAAGTTCTGCTTGCATCCTCAGACATGAGGCAAGACTACATCTAAAATAAGGGGGTAAATTTGGGCTGACACACTGAGAAGCATCGTTTACTCTGAATAGCAGAAACTTGGGAGTATAAGGGGGACTGGGGAGAGAGGGGTAGAGTCCAAAATGTTCTGTTCAAATGGAAAGCCCAGGATGAGAAATGAATGAAAGTCAGACGAGGATGAACAGGCTACATGTACCCTCTGGTTTTATTTTTTTACTGCATCCAAATTTAAAAAAAATAAAAATGTGTAAACATTTGCTTTGCTTAAAATAGCAGCCTGTTTTCTTTCATAAATGTGCCTTGTATTTAATATGTGCAATTTTGCAATCTGAACAGTCAGGAAAATTCTTAGCCTTTACAAAGACAATGAACCCAAGTATTGCCATACTGCATGCACACTGGTACCTGAGCGCTAGGGCACGTTCACCAAGAGTTTGGTGCATTTCCAGCTACACTGCAGGCATCATTTTGGGGATGCCAGGCTCCAGGAGAAGTCACAGTTGGTGAGACAACTGTGTCTTCAGATAATCCCTTATCAGAGCACGTAGATGCTCTAATATAGATATGTGGCCTCTCTGGAGAGTACTGTGCATCATAAGGCATAAGAAGAGGGAGCATCCAATCAGGGTGTTCTAGACAAGCACTCCAATATAAAATTATTTATTCCCTGTGTCCTTGAAGTGCCTTGGCACAATTAGCCATGGTGCCTTTTAGCTAGAGTTAAAATGAAGAAAACCTAGCAGAGATTAAAATCTCACACAGAGGAAATGCCTGCTGCTTTACGCCACACTTTTTCATTCTGATCTGGAAAGCTGCCTTGGCTGTGCTAGGCTATAGGGACATTGTTTTGTGCTACTATGCACAGTGGAAGAGTCTGGGAAGCAGCCCTGTGCCCCATACCCTGTTCCTCCCACTCCCATGTCGGGCAGCCGTACCTTCCCCTACACTCTGGAAGCAGCCACTGGGCAGCTGGTGCTTCTGCAGCCAGAGCAGAGCGCTATGCACATGATCCTTATGGATGTAAATGTGAGAGCTGGCTTGGCCAAAGGACCTGGCTACAAAAGCTGTCAGCCTGCAGAGCATGAAGAAATCCCATGTCACAGCCAGGAACTGAACCAGCAAGGACAATAGGTTTGGGGTGACAGTACTAACTCTGGTCACTCACCATGTGTTGCCCTCGTTGTCAGCTTTCCCAAAGGCACTGTAAGAGCCATCATCATGTTTGTAGAGCAGCTGACGCTGGTAACCTGTGAAGACAAGTGCCAGGACATGATTCTCAGCGTGATGGCCTGCAGCATCTCAAACTGTATACTTGCTGTGGGAAGAAGGCTTCACAGAAAGAGACTTCACCAGGTCCTACAGTCAGAGACATTGAGGCAAACCTACCAACCCACAATCTCCCGTGCATCCTGCAACAGCAGCATGACAAGAAACTCTATCCCCAGATGCCACTCTTTATTCCAGTTAATAGCAGCTGATGGCACTGTTTCCATAAGGGACTTCTGTCTGCCTTGGACTGATACGGGAACAAACCACAAACATCACAAAATGATGGAAATCATTAATTACCCACATCCTTCTCAAAAAAAAAAAAAAGGGCTTCATAGCTCAATAACAGGCAGAGACAGAAGTCCTGCTTCTTCAGAAACATGCTTTTCATTCCATGAGACATTTCCCTTATTCTCTGTGATACCTTCCATTGCCATTGCTCTGGCAGTGGTCTCACTCCTGCCCTGCACCTCCCCACCAGACTAGTGCTCCACACCCTTGATTTATAGCACCTTCCTTTTGAAGCAGCAGGAGGAAGGACAATGTTTACCTGTTCTCAGGAATTTCAGTGCTTTATCTTCAATTTCTGGGTCCAGTTGTTTAGTCTTATTCAAGTACTGGAGTATGAAGATGTTTGGTGCAAACTGAACCATGTTCTGTTCACCACAGCCGAAGGGCATCTCTAGCAGCTGGTCTAAATTTTGAAGTGCTGGGCCCATGATGTCCCCTTAAGTTTGAGGTAAAGTAACAGGACAAAGGAAAAGCACAAAAATTCAGCAGTATGAAACAAAGGGACTGCTGCCTTCTCTAAACTCTACTGGTATCTTGGAAAAGAGCCAGCCCCTCACTGAACGGAGTTACCCTTCCCGGATTAGTCCAGCACAGAGGATCGTGTGGTTCTGGGAAGAGGGAGGGAACGCAAAGCTTGAAAGGATCTGAAGAAAGGTGAAGAAAGCTGTCATTCTTGAAGAGATATAAAGGAGGGAAAAGAATTGTAGAGGCAAACTAGGTGGAAATCTGCAGGGATGGTTTTGGTTTGCTTAAGGTGAATGGCAGTGACAGACATCAGAGGAGGTTCCCCATTTTGTGTCTTCTCCTCCAGCCCCTTGGGGATCACCCAGGATCATTCCTTATGAGAGGAATAAATATTGAAAGAGATTACCTGATCTACATTTCTGAGGCCACCATCACATGTCTTACAGTTTATCACACGAGGAACTGAGCTGATGCATCATTAAGGCCAAAACATTGTGCAAGCTCTTCCCACTGAGGACCCAAGAGCAGGGGAAGTCTTTCTCACCAATCACAGAGAAAGTGGCTCGGCCAGATCCTTCCAGCACTTCTGCAGGCAGCATCAGGGAGAACTCTTCAGAGACAGTGTTATCTGAGGAAGGTAGAACCCAGAAATTTACCCCTTGGAAGAAGTATCACACATAAGGAAACAAGCCAGGTAGAAGACAGACATGGACAAACGATATTGGATGTTCTCCCAGGCAGGGATGGTGCCACCAGGGCTTGGTCTCTGACACATGCCCCCCACCTCTGGGTAATTGCAGAAGCCCTGCCCCTTGCATCCTTCTGTCATGATCAGTAGCAGTCAGGGATTTTTGTCCCATACCTGCAGCACAGAGAAAGGCATTTTGGGTCTTCTCTTGAAGGACACCTCCTGGCTGTAGATGGAGAAAGACTAATTCAGATAAGGAAGGCAGGAAAGGAAGTTGTCATGCCTCAGCAGGCCTGTCTGCTTCCAAGAAGCAGGGGCTAAACTTCCTCTTAGCATCTTCTTAACTGCCTCAGGGCATGTCCCACTGTCCTCAGGTGTTCTCCACTTACCTTCACAAGCAGAGGTTTTATCACTGTGTCTCTCTCTCCTTGCAAAGGTGTCACAGCAATCCTGTTAGCACACAGACTGTGTGAATCTTCTGCCACGCTGCTCACGGTGACATTCACTTTGCCTGCAGGGAGCACAGAGGCACAGTGCTGAGCACTTGCAGCAGACAGCTGTACGTACAGGCATCTGGACCAGATGTGCAGAGTCAAGCAAACCCGACCCCTCCTCCAGCTAGCTACCACACATCTCTCTGCTCATTCTCACCCAGGCTCGTGGCTGTCACGTTCCACTCAAAGGTTTTTGCTTCGTTTGAGCAGAGGCAGATGGTGAACCGGCAGCCTGGACAGGCATCCACCTTTAGTTCTGGGGTCTCTGTGAGGGTGGTGCGCACCTGAGTGTGGTGGGGTGTACAAGCATACATTGACAGAGTGTTAGCACCAGGTGGCACACCATGGAGCAAGCACCATGAAGTGAGAAGCTGTGCTTTGAGGCCCAGATGCCAGCATCTAGCTCCTGAGCTGCTCATAGCTTGCCTTTGGGCTCAAGTTTTCACTCTGACAGAGGTGTGTAACCAGGCAACACTCACCTGGATACAGTCTTTGAGGTAGTTGAAGACAGTGGCTTTTAGGCTGAAGGTCTCTCCTTGGATCACAGAGTATGGCAGTGACAGATCTACAAAGAAAGGCTGGAAGACCCTAAGAGAGGTCAGAGGAGAGAATCCAAAGCCCGTATCGGCAACACAGAAGGTGTTGGCGTTCCATTCCGTAATGGTATCAGGTACGGCAACTTGGAGAGACGCCTGCCCCTCATCCCTGCAGCAGAAAGAGAGAGAGAGGAGAACTTGCTCATAAACAGTCAGAAATCTCCCAGCATCTCTCTGGGGAAAACAGGTAAGGGCTGTTACCAACCCGACAGAGATCAGATCCCAGATCCAGGTCTCTGGGAAAAGTGTCCGTGGTTTTGGCTTCTTCGTGTTATCCGGGCGAGGAGCAGAATCACCATGGACCACATGATTTTCTGCAGAAAAACAAGTGATACCTCATAAAACAGCATATGTAGCTACAGGTGTAATTAGTTCTTCATTCACAGGCAATCTAACACAAACCATAAATGCTTTGTGACACAAGAGTGGACAGGGTTGGCTTTTCAGTGAGAATCTGACAGTGTCTCTATCTTTGGGGAACACAGCTTTAGGGAGACAGAGCTGGATGAAGTTTAGCCCGAAGCTCAGTCTGACAGATCCAGCAAGTTTGGTCTTGAGACGGCATGCTCAAATGGAGTTGCAGTCTTTTAAATAATCTGTGAAAGTACTGGTGGAGACCAGAACACATTTTCGGTGGAGTGCATAACACAGGGACAATAGGGCACAGAAATTTGAGCTTTTATCTGCAATTTATAAACCAGGTCCATTGAACTGGACACAAGTTTTGCTCCTTGCATTCACAAACAAGAAACACAGCATAATGGAAGTCAGCCCTCTCAGCTGCAGGCTGGCCAGAACTGGGAGAGAAAAGCCCCTTCAGTCAAGGAAGACATGTCCATTCCTTACCAACAACATTGTTTTTTCCAGAATACATCTTTTTCTTAAAGTCTGGTCGTATACAGGAAACTGGTTTCTTGATTCTAGTATTGGTTAATATTTTCATGCTCAATTTCTAGGAAAACAGTGAAGAGAGTAAATCAATGACAAATAAAAGGGAACAAGAAATGTTGAAAATATCTCACAATAGCAGGTAACGTAAGAGGGGTGGTGGTAGCTGAAACACTTTAAAATGCTGCTTGTTTATATATATATATGCATAGACTTACAGGCTCAGACTATGGACAATGCATGAGGATAGGAAACCAGCTTCTGGGGAATACTGGGGCCAATTATTACTTCTCATGAAAGTAAATTTTAGCAAGAGCTGTCCTTCATATGCCTAACCTTAACAATAAGCCAACCACCATATATCCCATAAAAAAACTTAAGAGAAAAAATTTCTAAGATTTAAATCTTTGCACAGTTTTAGAATTGAAAGATCTGACTGGCTGTTCACAAACAATTGTTCTTACACAAGTTAGTATCAATCATGGATTAGAAAACTGATGGAGAACTCAGTCACAACTTAGTGTGCATTCTTCTTTTATCCGAATGAAACTCAGACTCTCAGGGCCTGTGCTTCACAAGGTGGAAAGACTGGATTGAATGCACCCTCATGTGCATGGATGAGAAGATACCATTGCACATGCATTTGATCCTGTGAGCAATCCTTGCTTTGATTTAATGGTCTGCAAGTCACTGAGAACTCTTCTACCATCCTGAAGTGCCAAAACCCTTCATGGAGAGCATGGGTCTTCACCCGTTCTGTGGAGGCTGTACATGCCTGTGAACTTAGTCGCATGTTACAGGACAACCATCACTAACGATGGAGTTATAGTGGGATCTCCTTTAACTACCATCCAACACAGTCTGGCAGTAAGCATCTAGAAGACAGCAGAGTACCATGCCTTTTGTGGGGAAGCAGGATCTGAATTTGAAAGGTAGAATTCTGTCAGCCTGAGAAGCCCATGCAACTCAAACTCCATTTTGGGTTGTTTTCAGTGTATTGCTACCATCTTCTCTATTGTGAGGTGCTTTCATTTGCACGTATTTCTGTCAGAAGCAGCACTGGTTTCAGTTAGCAGACATGTTGTTAATCTTTCTCTGGCTATTGTGCTTGCTTTGGATTAGCTTATATTGTCATTTGTTTTGACAGTTAGCTATAAATCCAAATGCTGAAGGACTTATAATTGTTAAAACTTCTTTGAGAAGAAATAAGTGAGACTCAATGAAACACAGACTAAAGTTTGCAACGAAAATAATAGCCAAATGGCAATCAGCCAAAATACGGTAAGGTGCTCAGATCTTACTGGGATATTTTTGCCACTCCCTCTTTGTTGAAATGGGAGCCTAAACTAAGTTTATAAATCTTTATACTCTCTTTCTCTAATCAAGTGGTTTGTACTATGCTTACTCGTAAGTTTAATCTTTCCCCATGGTCCCCAAATGAGTGTGGCTACCCAGATGACTTGCAGTGATAAAAGTCAGGGCAGCTGAAGTTTGCTAAGAGTAAATTCTTATAGGCATTCAAGGATGGCATACTGGCAACTACTGGCTCAGGAAAAGTTCAATGGAAGTGTAGATAGTAACCTTAAACAGATTAAAGACATCACCATCACTTTGGTACCATGGTGCTTCCATCTGAGTCTTTTTGTGCAGACTGGACTGCTGAGGCAGACAAGGGTATGCCTCAAAGTCTTCCAAGTGATAAGGAAACCCTCGTCCTTCAATTGTAAAGCTGTCATCAAAGAAATTCTCATACAGCTGCAATGGAAAAACAGAGGTCTTCATAAGTAACTGTCCAACAAGCATGTGTATGGGTCAAATATTTGGATTGCACCCAACTATTATATTTTGTAAAGCTTTGCAGTTGTGGAAGGTGACACTGGTCCAGCTTATACTAAAGGACATGAAGCCCAAGGAGCAGATGTAGGCAAGTAGCTTTTAGTCTGCAGACTTTCACCACTGACAGTCCAAGCCAAGCACTCTAGGGTGCAAGATTAGGATAAAAGCACATGATCCAGTTTGAGCACAAGGCATTGGCACATCCGACTTACATATTTAATGATTACTACTTTATATACCTGTTAGTAGATGATGCAAGTGCTCTCTGCATTATTACAGTATTCCTGTAAAACGGAACATGAGATCACACTGTGGTCCTATCTACAGATGCAGCAAGTCCCCCTGGATTTGCTGAAGTTTCTTTGTATCAGTCTGGCCTGCTATGACTTATCTTACAACTTTGCATGGGACATATGCCTGTGTATTAGCTCTGGTATACATGTGGAATTATGTTAGGATTTTCAATTCTTGCGGTATTTTTATCTACAGATGCAGCAAGTCCCCCTGGATTTGCTGAAGTTTCTTTGTATCAGTCTGGCCTGCTATGACTTATCTTACAACTTTGCATGAGGCATATGCCTGTGTATTAGCTCTGGTATACACATGTTAGGATTTTCAATTCTTGTGGTATTTTTGTTTTAGGTCTTAAATTCATTCCCCCAAAGCACACAGCTGGTTTAAGGTAAGTTCCTTCAACTCTTCTAGATTCTCTCAGAATGCACCTGGGTGCCACCAAACTCCTGACCACTGTGTGCACGAGGTGCTGTCCCCTAGTTCTTTTCTGAAGAACTGCTCAAGTGCTCGGCTTGATCTGTTGCATGGTTAAAATCCAGCGATTTTAGGGGCAGAGGGATAGGAGGACCCCACCGGGCGAAAATTCCGTTTCAAAGGTTTAGCCCCACTGCCTGGTGGAAGATGGAAGAGCAGAGAGAAAGATGGATGTGAGGAAAGCCGCTAAGCACCCTCTCTCCAAGTGGAAAGCGCCAGCATCTCCTTGAAGCTACTCCCCCTGCCTACCCCTGCAGTGCCACGCAGTATCCACCACTCTCCAGGCAGAGGCCCACAGTGCAGGGCTGATGCACGATGAACACGGTCACCACCTAACTGCTCAGAAGAGGCTGAGGAGAGGGAATGCCAGGGCAGCCGCCTAACACTGCAGCTGTGTTCTGGGATGGTCTATGGGCTTCCTCCTGCCAACGCATGAAACTGAAGGTAGGCAGGCTCTAGATTATATCATATATGTCATGGCAGGCTGCACTCACCCTGTCTGCTGTTAGGGTGTTGTTGTTCTTCAAGAGGACACTCTTGTCAACAGCTTGGACAGAGCACAAGGACCCTGGAGCAGCCTTGAGGTCCAAACTGACCTTTGATCCTGGCACTTCCTCCTTGTGTGAGAAGTCCAGTGACACCTACAAAAGAAGACGGGGCTTACTGTTAGAGACTGCAACTCTGGGCACCAGAGAGAAAGAAAGAGAATAAAGTATGGAAAGGAGATCAGGTGCTGAGACAGGCCCTTCTGGAAACCCACTGGGAAGGTTACGGGGGCTGCAGTGTGTACAGCCAGGCAGCATTCCCCTACCACCACACAGCCACCACCCCCTGACACAGAGCTGCCACAGGGAGCTAAGCAGGCAGGTGTCTTTTTTGTGTTAGGCAGAATGTGGGGGACAGTGTGTTCCCAAGTCAATCATGGGGAATGGAGGGGGAAAACAGAGTTCAAGGGAGTCTGGTTTACTCCTTGGGAAAGGCTTGACAATTGGTGTTAAGAAGGGCAGGACTAGAAATTCAGGGAAGAAGGAGGTTACCTATTTTTTTTCCAGCCAAAAATACTGGGCATCTGATTTGCTGTGTATCTAGCTTACATCACTTGGCTGAGGATAAAAGAAGACCAGGAACCACAGCACAGCAGTGGTGCTACTGCACTCATGTTTCTACTCACCTTGTGTCTAAAGCACTTTTCTACTTTAAACTCTTCCACATCAGCCACCACCTCTCCATCCGAGAAGACTGTATACAGCAGAAGATTGATATCAGGCAGGAAGTCATTGCCAATAGTCAGAGTCAGTGAGAACGAGCCCTGCAGATCTGCAAAAGATAGCGGAGGAAGAGAGGGAAAACACTCAATTGAATCAGCTCATTGGGGTAGGACACACAATAAGCATCAAAAGAGGAAATTTAATGACTTCTACCTGTATATAAGAACATCCCACACAGATACTGTTACAGATTAACAATAAACCCAGGATATTGGCCACCTCTTTGTCTCAAAGTTGGCAAAAATATTCCTCTTGCCTATAGGACCTTAAATGAACAGGCAAGCTACACCAATTGTGTGTCTTCTCCAAAGATACAAGCTAGAAGTAACGTTGTAAGATTGGATGTGAGATCAATTAGACAAGGCAGGAGAAGGACAGTCACCTGGAAGGACACTGAACTGATATGAGTGGAGACTGTGTTGATCTAATGAGGTGGAAAACCACTAACAACTCAGTTTGATAACTCCCACCTACAGAGGTTGTTGCTGGATAGTGCTCACGCTTTTCTGGAGCGTGTTATGAGGCGCTTCATGTGAATCTACTCACTCTCATGCTGGGGAACTGGCAACTGCTTCTCTCCACTGAAAAGGATCTTGCCTTTTGATATCACCTGAAGAGCAAAGAGAAGAGCCATTCAAGGGCCTGAATTCTGAAGGCATGAAGAGAGTGGAAAAAGAGCAAGAGGAGAGAGAAGAACATCTGACAGATGTTGTCACAGAAGTTTCTCTGGCAGGACATGACCTGAAGAGTTCTGCAGCAGAGGTGGTGATAACATAGCTGGGAAGGGACTTGAGAGCTGTTGGTTAGGAAATGACAAGATGTGGCCACTTAAAAAGGCAGAGGTACATCTAAAGATAGGAGGAGCTGCTCTTAAGCCCCAGTGAACCCTAATCTTCACATTACTGGGATACAGTATTTTTCTCACTGTACGAATGAGCCTAGTTCAATGACGGAGGTACTCACAACCTCTCAGCACGGCTGTAGTCACGCTGTTGCCTTGGACTTACTTTCCTGAAAGTGGAACTCATCAAAACACAATTACATACCTCTGGAGGGCATCAAAACCCTGTGTAATTTCAAACCTTTTCCTGTAAATATATATGCCAGGGGAGGTCAGCTTCCCCAGATACTGCCTCTTAGTTCACAGACAGATTGCCCCAGACACAGATGGAAGTCTGGGGCACAGCTGCTGGGCAGAAACCAGGCCAGCCCTCCACTGCAACCCATGTGAACATAGTAGAATGTAGGGTGAATGGCAGGCATCTATCCCCCAAGCTTTGGTCAAGGCACTCCTCACAAAATAAAACAGCCGTGGCCTAGGAGCAGGTCTAGGACCTGGAGAACAGGAGTAGGTTTGGGCAGAACAGAACTCACAGACTGACTTATAGTGGCCCAGGAGTAGCTTACCCTTTCCCATGAGTAACTGTGTTGTGTGAAAGGGTTAAATGACAGCAAGCATAATCTTGCCCTAAGAATCAGCTGTCTTCTGTGCTCACCAAGTAGTAGAAATCAATGTAGTCTGTTTCAGAGCTGAATTTATTCCGGTCAATGATATAATCCACTTGCACTTCCTGCTTTTGATTACAGGGCATCTCATCATTCCTGGCCTTGATCTCAAGGAAACTGTTGCTCTCAGAGTAGAAAGCTTTCAGCCAGTGGAAGCTATCCTCAACTTCTGTGTGACTTTCAGAAGAATCCTGCTCATCATGATTTCCAAGGTTGTAGGTACCCTTCAGAGCACAAAAACATGAGTTGGCAATCAGTACTGAGTGATATAAGGTGTACACCTACTGAAAACACTAAGTTATTACCTGAGCTAATGGCAGGCCACACATCTGTATGCTTAAAATATTCTTTTGTTTAATTGTCATTTTAAATTCTCTGATGAGACTCTGTTAGGGAATTTTAGCAAAAATCTAATAGAATTACTCACAATCTTATTTTTCTTCCTTTTTCTTTCCATGGGGACACACCCCACACCAGACTTCAACCCCAGCACAGCACCCCTGTTTTCAGTTTGTGTTTCTGGTAAGATGCCCTAAAGCATAGCAAGCACCAAAAGAGCTTTTTTATGGTGAAGATTTACTTCTTTGCAGATAATTTAGGGCTCTGTGAACAATAGCCATGGGCCCAGGAACAAGAACTAGAACCTGTTCCCAGGCTCCCTGAGGACAGAAATCTACCTCCCAGATTACAGAACCTCTGATCACCAAATCCCGTCCAACCAAAATTAGGGAACTTCACCCTAGATAGAGTGAAGTCTCAGGGAAAAACATGTGGAACAATAGTTCCAGTCTCTGAGGAATGTGTGACAATAGGAGTGCTGCACCTTCTGGAGACAAAGGACACAAAGTACAACCCACAATGGGGAGAGGGAGGAGGGAGAGGAGGAGAAAACAACTTTAAACTGGGAGCTGTATCAATTTATGGAAGCACTACCTGGGCTGTGTCAGACCCTGGATTATTTATTTCATTCAGTGGTGTGTGCACAGCAGCCGAGCTCTCTGTCCTGTATAGTTTATGTGATTTCTGGTACGCATTTGCTTGGATGATCCTTTTCTTTAATGTTTTATTCTTAAAATTCTTATTCATTATCTTATTCTTAAGATAATGGAACTTGCTATATATAAAAAATTATTCCTTTGCTGGACTGTAAAATTTGCTAAGCTGTAACAGTTAAAGGAAAGAATAAACGCTACCCAGTAAATGAAGTTGGCATTTTCTAATCCTTGGATTCATTTGTGAAAAGCTAGTTTGTTGCCCAAACTGAGATACCCCTGAAGGGATTGCTTTCAGGACTATGCTGACAACTGTCCAGTCTTCAAACCCTGGGACAGGGGTGCCTTTTCAAACAGCTTCTCTGAATTGGGTGGTATGGGCTGCAAGGCAATTTGGTAAATGCCTGAATTGGGTGGTATGGGCTGCAAGGCTGCAATGCAAAAACATCAAGCATGTCACTTTTCTTACAGTTTCACTGTGTTTAGTCCCATGGTAAAAGTTAAATTTGTGTTTCTGTGATGGTGCCTAGGCACATCCATGTCTGACAGTCCTAGTGGAAGAGCTGTGATTTCTCTCTGTCCTGAGTGGGGCAATATTGGCCAAGAATTCGAGTCAGGAGATAGGCATGATGCCACTTTTTTTTTGGAATGCAGGTAGTGGAAAGATGGTGTACAGCCAGGCTGGTAACAACAAGCTCCAGCTGCAGGACCAGAATTTGTGAGAAGCAGCAGTGAGGTGCTTCGAGGTCTGGTATTGAAAGGGAGCTCAAGAGCTACCTGCCAGGCTGAGCCTGGGCAAGCGGTGTGCAGCTCCAGGGCAAGGGAGAACTCCACAAAAGTGGAGTTCAACAGAGACAGGTATCGACTCCCAGTTCTGCTAAGTCACCACCAGCACACCACAGAGTGAAGAAAGGGAAGATTTCTTCCAAGGGAGAGTTCAGATTAACAGATGTTTTTAGTGGAGTCAAAGGATGGTGAGGGGGAATACAAAAGATCAGGATCATGCTCCAGCTCAGGACAGCAGAGCACCTTTGGTGACAATTTGGCTGAACTGTTGCAGTACAACCTCCAGTCTCCCTGAGGAGATGGCACTGGAGAATAATTAAAGATGCTTTACAGACATAGTCAAATGAGATTAAGAGCCAGGGGACTATGCTCCAAAACCCAGATTTCTTCCACTTTCTTTCCCTCCTCAGTCCACCTTTATTTTATCCTCCCTTTCCTGTGGCTGATGCTCACCTTCAGAGAAACCAGTGTGCTGTTCCAGCTGGTGGTATCCAGTGAGAAGTGAACTTCCCCATTTTCATCTGTGAGGAATGACAGGTGTGTCTCCTCATCATTGATGTCAACTGTTAGGTAGACCGTTTCATTTTTGAGAGGAGAATTGTCACTGTGGCAGAACATCTGCAGAGAAGGGGAGGAAGTTAATATTCCATTGTGCTACATTGCACATGCTTAATATTAATTGTTTCTGTCACTGGGTTTCCTCAGCCCAGCTTTCAGACAGGTTGGAAGGATCCAAATAAAAGTGTGATAAACATACAAAACCAACAATGTGCAGCTTTTCAGGACTAGAAATAAATAGTAGTGCAGCCAAATGAGAATGAGACACCTATACTGGGGGGAAAAAGGTGATTTCCTCTGATCCTGAGCTTTTTCTTGGACAATGGCGCAGCGTCCTTGATGATCAGAAACAGACTTCTCTCCAGCAACTTAATTCCTTGTCCTCCTTCATGATTGGGTCAATACTGGCCCAGGTGAGACTGTTTCTGGCCCCAGTGGGACATCAGCTCTAGCATCTTCTAGGAGATTTGAGTCAGAAGTGGCTGCCAGTAAACTGATATACAAGGCTTTAGCGATTTCTGCCAAGTTGCCATAAGCATTTGTCCAAAGGGAATATTATTTCCCTGCCAACACCATTCCCATTCCATATGCCTCTTATTGCACATACTGCTTTCAGGAACTACTGCTGGGGAAGCCTCCAGGGAGGCTTCTGGCCCCAAAATTTCTGTCCAGGGAATATAATAGATTAGGATGGGAAGGAGAAATTTCTTCTACAGGAGGTTTCACTCACAGTTGCTGGGTATCAGCAGAACAGCACTTACTTTTCCTGGAGGTTGTTGCTTTCTGCCTATGTAAGATTAGACCTATGATGTACTCTCAGCAGAGAAGGGATCTATGGATTTTACCTTTCCTGTGTATGGCAGTCCACGTTTGTAGAATGAATGGAAGTTGATAAACTCAATAGACTTCATTCTCGTTGCAATAGGAATTCCAGCAGTTTCCATAGTCTTTGCTCCTGGTTGGAAAGATAAGAAATCTGTTAAACCCTAGAAGTGCTCTTAAGGAAGCAGTAGACAAGAAGATGCCTCAACACTACCTAAAACATCTACAGCCTCTAAATTTAGGAGAGAAAATACATTCTTTTAGAATACGATTCCCTCAAACTTCCCAGACCCTCTGCTTCGTGACATGGGGTATCATAACCTATAAGAACTTATTTCTCTTTATTGGAAATGAATAGAAACTAGATGACTAGCTATAGAGAGCTATACTGTAGATGCCTAGAAGTGGCCTGAAGGACTCCACACACAGTATGACAGTTCAAAAAATGGACATCTGCAGTTGCCAGAGCTAGGTGCACATTAACACTGATAACCTGATTAACACTGATAACCTACCTCTTTATAATCAGTGTCAGACTGGGAGCAGAATGGGATGCAGCACAGCAGGAGTGTGCATAAGCAGCCCTGCCTCAAGCTTAGGAAAAGAGAAGACAAGAGCCTGTGGGTAGGGATGACCTGTCAGGATGGTGCACTACAACCAGCAAGGACCGTGAGGGTTTGTTGGTGACTTTTGCATCCTAACCAGGGCCTCACAAGTGGCTGAGGAACACCTCGGTGCCCAGGCAATCGCTAAGAAGTTGTCTATATGCTGGTGGAGATGAAGGGTGGAGAGAACTAGGAAATCTGATAATAATAGATGGAAGAAGTACTAGAATAGAGACCGTCATCATGCCAGAAGACTTGGGAATCCTCAAGTTACTTTTTCAAAAGGAATTCAACAGCCACAGAAAGACCAAAGCCAAAAATTTCAAAGAAACAAAGGATCAGAAGTTGATTGTAAGGAAGAAAACGCTTCACATATCTGTCAGTACCTGTTCCGTCTTCCATCATTTTTCCTATCACAACTATGTAGCTGTCCATTTCATCTAATTCCAGATTCTCTGTCTTCACTGTAAATGTACTGCAGCCGTCCTTGTTTGTCTGGAGAAAGAGAGGCATGAACAGTGAGAAAGAACATGGTGTAGTGGAAGAGAAGCTGTTTCACAGATGCTGGGTGATCCTAAAGAAGTATTTCCAAATACTTGTGGAACAGATGAAAGGTCAAAAGGTTTTCACTGCAGAAACCCACCATGGAGAGCTTAGCCAGGGAAGAAAACCAATGTACTCAGATTAAGCAATCACCAAATAAGTGGCAGAAAAAAGTGCTTCAGGCAAATCACATAAGGATTAATTATGTCTCAGACAAACTCAGGAGACTGGATTAAGCCCAGACCCTGCAGATGAAAGAGCATGGGTGTCTTTTCTTGAATTAAAGATAACCTCCTCCCTGAAACTGCATGGTCCTAAAGAATAAATCCTGACCTGTGGCTTTCCAGTTCATGGCCATCTCTGTGATGTGGCCATGTTAAACAAGGGTATCCAACCAGTTACAGATTGCAAGAGCTTTGCCAAGCATTAAGGCGGACACTGGGTACAGCCAGTCTGCCGGAGAGGGGAGGTGGACAGTGTTCCCAGTCATGCCTGTTCAGTTCTCCAGAGAACCTTGCAGAGCCTCTTACAAGCTATGTGGGAGGGAGCTGGCATTCAGTTGGTGTTTTACATGGCTAAGGCTCTGCAGCATTCCAGACAGAGATATTTTGCTACTGGGTACATTTTAAAAGATACAGAGATCCAGGTGGATTTCTATATTCCGGCTTGTTGCTAGTTGGTTTGACATTTTGAAATATTTTCTTGTGACTTTCAGGCTGAAAGAGCTGCATCTGAAAGCCACAGGAAAAACCAAGTGCGGAGCTTAACCACAAATGTATAATGAAGACAAGTGCACAGGAAGTGTAACCAGCACTGGACATAATCCCAGACAGGACACTAGCAAGCTTAAGATGATCCATTAGCAAGAAACAGGGTATTAAGCCGCAGACCATCGGATGCTCCGATAGCCTGCTTATTGCTGGGAGCCGTCACAGGGCTGAACAGAGCAGTGATCTGGTTCCCTATGGTATCATACAGAGCCTTGGGAAAGGCTGCAGGTATCATTACTTAGACAGAGCTTACATCTTCTCCTGAAACAGAGTCAGATTTGGGGAGCTAGAGCAGTAATTCAAGCAATAGAGTCACAGGAAGAAGAATCAATGATCTGATCAGGTCTAGCAAGTGAGAAGACACCAGACTATACAGGTCAGTGGACATCAGAGGTGCATCGAGGCAGGTTAAGGGGAGAGACATACTTTTCCAACAGGTTATACTTTACGTGCTCCTATTTGTTCACCTACCCTGCTGTTTTGCTTCCTCCCCTCAGTAGAATTTGTTAAATTGTCTTCAAAGAACTGGGATAATGTAATAAAAGTAATATTTATTTCCCCTTGAACAGGCTTCCCATAGGTATACCTGTGTCAAAGGGGAGAAACAATCACCTGAAGAATGGCCACTTCAGCAGAAATATTGATTCAGGCGATGCCCCCACCCCCACCCCACCCCCTGCCCCATCATCAGGGAGAAGTGAAGCCTGGGAGAGCTTTGTACCTTCTTTGCTCAGGAACTTAAGCTTATTCCTTAAGATCAGTTTGCATTCTTCTCCACCCATTACACCCAGCATCCTTAGTGTCCTTCAGCCTCACAGTAAATGACCAGGTGTGAGAAGCCTGTTCCAGAGAGTGATCTGGCTCCCTCAACCATAGGATAACGCAAGAACATCATATTGGAAGGCTATGGGCAATCTGGAGGTGACCGTGGAGCCAAAGGCCAGAGGTCACAGTGATATCATGTACTCACTTGCCACAGACCTTCAGCTGAAATTCCACATCCTCTGTAGTGATAAATGGTGGGTGCTCAATCTTTATTTCAAATTTTTTCAGCACTGCATGGAAGTGAGGAAGATATGAATGGAGGAAAAGAAAGTAATACTGTGTGTGGTCACTGAGTGCAAGTTTTGTTATAGCTGCGGCCCAGATGGTGGGAAAGACAGTAATGTCACTAATTTTTTATCAGTAGGCTGCATTCTGATGAAGATGCAGCAAAATGGTGTGCTGCTTCAGCCACACCACCCTTTATTGCTACTAGAGTGGCACATGGGACTGCTTTCTACTCCAGCTCTGTCAAGCATAAACATTTTAAAAGGCACAGGGTTTTGTCCTTATTTACATCACTGCAACTGAATGGGACTTGGGCATGATGCCACTTCCTGTTATGGCAGCTAACTGGAGTGGAGGGTAAACTTGGCTTAGAAGAGGGTAACAATGAGCGGCAGAGAGTGCTCATCACAGGGCCTAGCTGCAGCTAGAACAAGATACCAGAACACAGCCTCTCCCTTGTACCCTATGCAGCTGCAGAACCACCAGCCCAGCATGAGATGCGTGCACAGGCCCATCTGTCCCTGTCCCCAGTCTGCTGTTCTCTCAGGAAAGAAGGACTGATGAACGTGCCCACATCATCCCACTCCCTTCTCCAGCTACCCACACTGCTTTTCCCTCACGTCTGTTGTCCAAGTCTCACCATATTCATCAACCGTGAAGGTTTTTTGAGCCATGTCCTGTTGCACTGAGATGGTGTACTCCCCAAGGAGTGCTTCGGAGGCCAGTGGGAAGGACAGATCCACAATGCCTTGTCTTGACTTTACATTCAGCCACTCAGCAACACGGTTATATTCAGGATCCTGTTTGGGAAAGGACATGCAGAGCCACGAAGTCACACTGAGAGCATGGATACCTGGCAGGTCCAGCCATACTCCGACACAAGAAAGCACTACAAGAGCTTACCCTTGCCCCAGTGAAGAGGTTGCCAGATCACCAGGCAAGATTCCTCCTCCTCCCTCCAGTATCATTTTACTGAATTTTTGAATTGCAAAGACTGCCAAGAACAGTAAAGCTACTGGGAAGCAGTAACACCATAACACCATGGGAAGGAGAAGCAGCTGTGCTGTGTCTACTGGGCACTAAGCCTTGTGCTCTGTGCAAACAAGGTGTTGGGCAAAGGTTCATTACTGCCCTGCCTCCAACTCAGCTGTACGCATCACAGAGGTACTGGATGGAATGAAGAACCCAGGCTGAGCAGGCAGAAAAGACTTCAGCTAAACCTGACCCATAAACCACAACCTTATGAGGTTATGTTTGTGACACAACTCTGTCCAGGAGTGAAAGGGCACAGTGGAAGAGACACACATCTCCCTTTGGTGAGTTCTCTGTCACTTACCTGCAGCCATATCTGGGAATACTGTAAAAACAATAGAAACACAAGTTCAGTTTTGTACAGAATAGAACATCATCCGTGTGAACAGGTATCAATAACACTGTCTGACATGGGCCCCTGACCAGAAAGTTCCGCCCCATCCAGACCCCACACTATATCTCCTCCTTCCTTTGTGCTAGCTTACACTGCAGGCTTTTTCCAAGGGACCAGAGGATGAGTCACTCCCCTTCAAAGATCACTTGTTCTTGTGGTTTAACAGGCATGAATGGAGATGTCTCTTTCATGAGCCTCTCAACGTGTCTCATGCTGAGGCTTCTACTTCTAGAAAAGTACAAGGCGATACTCACCTCATTTTTAATGACTTTAAGGTCCTTGTCAAGGTTCACAATTCGAAATTTCACTGGAGATATAAAGAAAATTATAGTAAAGCATTCTGGCTGCAGCATGGCCTTGCACAAATCTGCTTCTCCTTTTCTGTGCTCCAGTATTCCTATGTCTCCATTTACCTCAGAGGTGTTTAGGTGTTTCCCCAAACAGCCCTCCCCAGCATCTCCCACCCCAGAGAAATTTGTCTGTGAGGTTTATATGCAGCTGCGGGCTGTAGAAACTCACTGCTCTTACATGGCAAGATTACAATGATGTGTTAAACAGTGAGGTTGGTCTGTCTGCAGTCTGTTCATATGTTGGACTGTAGAGTAACTCTCTGTATTTCTACATCTTGGAACTGTCACTCTAGGCTTTACTCAATTGTAATCAACAGTCTTCAAAAAACAGCAAAAGTTTACACAGTGTCTTGGAGAATCCTGGCTTTCATTTTAGGTCTCACTAGATATTCTTCAGCAAAACAACACCTGGGCATTTGGTGCAGTACTGCTCAGAGGGTGACATGCTGACTCATCCTGTTCCTGGAAACATTGATAACAGAGATTTGCTTTCTTCCATCTCCAACAAGCTTAGTTTGCTGAACTTGGTGAAATCTTCCCCCAGGACGTTGCTGCTACCTTTACCCTTCCCTCCCCATTTTCATATGCCACCTTCTTGCCTTACCTATTTCTCCAGGTTTGTATAAGCCCTTGTCTGTCTCTACCAGAATTACATTCTTTGGGGGCTCAACCAGAACCTTCTTGTGACCCTCAAAGAGCACATTGTCACCGCTGCGGACCAGGACATGCAGAAAAAACACCTTGTCTGGCTGCCAAGTTAAAAAAAAAATGAAAAAAAGCCAAACCCAAAACAAACACAAAACCCACAACTCGCCTGAGACTACAAGTAGCTTGAAGGAGAAACAGACATCTGTCCTACCAAAATCTCCAACTCCCATCTCCTCCCTCCCCTTCCTTTGATTTCTCTCTCTCCTTTCCCTAGCCATAGTATTCTCTGTGCTCCCCAGCTTCTTCATTTGCTTTTCTCTGCCCTACCCCTTGTCATGTTTGCCTCTTTCCAGATTTTGCTCCTCTTTACCATTTTCCCACCCTGCATCTCCAGCATTAACATGACTCAGACACAGAAGAGGCTGCTGAAGCCCTGTAATGTGTAAGAGAAGAAGCAACCAAGAGAGGTGTCTTACATGTGACATGGAATCATCTCTTTTCCTGGGAATGAACTCTGGCACCTAGGTTGATTGATACAAAGAAATGGAAAACAAATTCATCAGGGATATTGCCTCTTATCCCAGATGAGAGACATCATCTCACTGTTAAAAAGCCCCAGAACTTCAGAGTCCAAATTCCATTATATGACTCTGTCTCTAACCCACTTGTCATTACAGGGAGAAGAAGCAGTCCCTGCCTGTCTCATGTTCTTGAACATAAGAATGAATCAACTGACATGACATTCACTTACTTCACATAAATGTGAGATTTTTATGAGCCCAAGAAAAAACATAGGGAATTCAGATCTGGAGCTGACCAAGATAGTAATGGGAGATGAGATATTCATCAGGCAAAACCAGGACATCTCAGTATCAGAATGACCAAGCTCACCAGGAGAAAGGTTCTTTTTGCAAACAGAAGACTTCCTTGGCTTTTCAGAGCCAGGACTAGCTGTGACCAAGCTGGAACCAAGCAATTAATCACTGTCTTGATGCAAG